TTCACCTCCCTTATCATTTGAAACTCATTACGCTAGAACTTGTAGCGAAAATTATCGTCGTCTGAGAAATGATCTCATAGCGTATCAGATCGTCAAGAACTCTAACCACTCATGCCGACCTTTATTAAAACTGCCATAACACCTCACTGCGCGGCCACCATATAAATTTGGTGACAAGTTTAGCCCGTTGGAAAGTTCTCTAATTTCATGTATTCCAGCCGTGGAAATTACTTCTGCAATTTGTCATATCCCCTACCTTGTTGGAATTCAAAACTGGACTTGACGATGATTATATCACTACATTACATGATTTAACCGGTTACTGGAACACGCGACGACGTAGCCTATTAATGTGTACATTTACCATTTGCGGTAAGTCCACAGCTACTTGTATCGTGTTGTGATACCTCCATTTTGATCTCACTATTTACCTACGGAAACAGGTACGCCCTTGCTTTTATGGCCGTGGGAATGCCATTGTTACATTGTCGATTTGAAGCCCTATAAATATGAGTGGCTCGGGGTACTTCTACGATATGTTTCTCGCCGTCATCTACAACGCTACGAGAGTGACCGCCAGGAAGGTCTCAATAGTCAGCTAAGCCTTTGCTTTCACACTTTTTGTCGAACAAACAAATGAGTATTGCTGATAATTTCAACTTACCAAAGTTTCCCTGGTCAGTTTAACCCCTCTCATCATTGTACACGTATATATAGTTCGCTATCAGAGCTTATGAGTGAAAAAATGGATTATTATACCAAGTACATAAGCCACAGTAATCACGCCGCGGATTCCCGAAGCAGAAACTGACATGCTTGGCCGCCTCTGTTGGTAATGACCACCAGTAGCTAGGGCTTAAATTATACATCGGACTGGATATCAAGTTCGACTTATCTATCCAATACACTATATGCAAAATTAACTGGGAGCATTTCTAATAACTAATCCGGTCTTCCAAATGGGATTCGCCCGCATCTTGAGGGATTCGGTGCTATTAGCACGTCCATCGCATCACGACCCTACTTGTCCCAGAAAAGAAACCTCCATCCCTAGAATTAACAATTCGGTAATAACATCAATCGTTAGCTGTACGCCGTAACAGGGGGTCGGTGCCAAGCGACGACCAGCGGTCGTGCGTGGGCTGAGTACACCGCGAGGATTCCAACCAATGACCGTATTATTGCAAACCAGCCGCGTAACCCACTCGGTCACCGACCGACATTAACATTCAAACCAGACCTCGATTTATTTGAAAACGAGAAACTAACCCCCAGCTTTCACATTACTACCAAACTTGCACGAATCCATCGCTTGTGTCAAATATTCACAGATTATGTGGATTAAACTCAAAGCTGGAAACCAATTACGGAAGTCCTGCAAAGGAAAGAGATTAGTATAATTACTCTAGATTAGAGCCAATGAAAGTGATTACTCATTCGGAGCACAATTCGTTGATGTGTGTCGCTACCTTAATGATCTAACTGCTGTTATGTCCTTATTTCCTTATTCACTGATTCAATCAGCCTAGAATCTAACCCCATACCTTGCTGCCCGGAACTTACGACTAATGTCCAATACGTTGTTGACATTTCTCTTTGAAACACACGAAGAACTGCGAAGCCGATCAAACCATCCCACAAATTGGATTTCAATAACACCTCACCAGAAGTTTTTATATCAGGAGGACCTGAATTACCACTAATGTTACTAGACACCTTAAACTTTTCTGTATATTCTGACTATTTTCCGGATCAGTGAAAAATTTCTATTAACTCTGTTCATAATAATGGATCAAAAAGAATAATGGAAGGCTATTTTACCCGTCACAATCTTAGGATTGGTGAACTGAAAAAGTAAAACTGTACTGATGAATTATATCTACGTTTTTTAGTGGTTAATAAAATTGCAGTGTGGATCCCTCAATAAACGTTCCCTTACTACCGAAGAGTTGCAGTTCATGGATCACTGCGCAGGATCTTTTTACTGCATTTATAACTTGGTTACTGTGCATGGAAAAAGCCTTAAACTGCAAGCTTCACTAAAAGCTACCGAAAAGGTCCTGCTTTAACTGACTTTTCCCTGAATGCTCGTAACTATATATTCACTGAGAATAACCAATGTTCTTCCTCACAGACAATCCCTACTGATGTCACTTCGCCCTTCGCCCACACAACTTTTTAATGTCGATAAAAGCAAGTCCATCAAACACGGTAGGCCAAGGTAGCAGATATCCGAGGCGATAAGTAAAACAAATGCCACATAACTGTATCAACCCAATCGCAAAACCAATCACAAGTGAATAGCGACAGTGGATATTCCGTATAAAGAAGGAACTTCTGAAGTAATTTAGAGATTGCTAAACAAAGAAGATCCGAATGATACGGTGGATTCTTGTGTGTTTGAAGAATCCCATTCGTTGAGATAAAGTAATTAACTGCAGTTACAAAATCCCATCTAGAATGGTGCGCAGGTGCATAGAGGCAAAACGATGATGAGACTACGTCTAAGTATCTCAGTAGATAGGCAGCATTTTTCGCGATCTCCAACAAACGAGCTCGAGTATTGAGATCTGCTCAGAGACCCGATAGTTGAAATGCATGCGCTATGCACTTGGCACGAAACTGACTTCGAAAATGTCGTCAAAAGGAATTGATAGCGATCAGCCAAACGATGGCCAATTGCTAAAGCTACAGAAATAACCAAGGCTAACAAAGGCGTGTATATAATAGATAACGTAGGGATGTCTTACTCCGGCCAGTTTGATAAGCGTGGCGGATGGATCCGAATTCGAAATAGTCTAACACTCCTTCACTAAACTCCTAAATATATATGACAAATTCTATCAGTGAACAATTTTCTTCCAATGGATCACTTACGTTTGCCAGCCAAATCTGTAACTACCGTCTAAGAAGCATTTCCGTTCCCCATTAGACTTTGTCTGACACAAACCAAGGGGTAAACACGAACATAGTGACATTTGACGCATGTATCTTTGAGCAAAGAACTGCAAGTTTGTTAGCCTCAGTATGTAGCTTGCCTTACTTGGTACACAATTTGAGCTAATTTCCTTCGCCTGAAGAAGCTTTTGAATCAAAAAGGAAAGGTTGTGTATTATGACAAATGTATTGGACGGTCGTCCGCCAAACCTTCAGTAATAAAGGCTTCTCTATGGGTTCCAAGTATATTCCAGGATATTAGCGCTAAACTTTTCCAGAAATCTCCATAAGACGAACAACAGATTACAATGTTGCTCACACAAGAAAAAAGCATTATACTTAGGAATAAATAACACGAGTGATGAAGTTCTTAGCTAACAAACTATGCATCGTGTTCTAATGACATGCGATTCCTGATGAATGCCTTAACCTCAATACCGAAGGGAAATGTGTAAAAGTTTCTAACCGCGATCTCCAAATATGATAGTCTTTCAACTTTACTAATCGGAGCATTCTGAAAACTCAGCAGTTTTAGGTAAACTGTCGATGGATGACACACGCGGTATTAGACACAAACCACAGCTTCTAACATTTTAGATGTACATTCCTGGGTAGTTTTGCTAACCAGGGCATTTATAATCTCCGAGAATGAGGAGAAGGTTTCAAAATGGGCTGCTACTATGATAATCCGGCAGTTATCACTTGACAGTGTAAACTAATGGGCTACAAGAGACGGTAACGACTGTATTGATTAAATTACTAGGTGTGATATATCCTTCACCTTGGTTGGTCTGGCCTGACAAATGCTGGAAAAACCATGCACTGCTGGCGATTACCGAAAGGATGAACCGTTGTTCAGTGCGTTGCCAGGCATGTGATAACTGTCGGACTGGGCCTAGACATGCCGAATTTATACTTATAGTATTCAAAACCGCACGTTACTACTTTGGAATTAAAGTTTATCTTATTTCCACCTTGTACCCTCCGTTTCAAACCGATGACCGTTGCTTAAAAATATTTTGACTAAGTCATGATGAAGGTAGAAGGAATGTGTCTAGATTCTGCTTATCAGAAGTGTAGTATGCAACAATAGATTCCACTGTGAATGAGTATTTGTACATGCTCAATAGAAATACAAAACACAGGTGAAATTTTGTTCGCTTTCATTCAAAATCGTTAATATCCACGTAGTGTCATTGACCATAAACTTGGTTACCTATTCCACATAGCAAGGTGAGCAGTTGTCAATATACCAACGCTTATACTACCTACACCCTATTCACAGATACACGTTAACTAGTGCTTTTGAGAGCGAGATTCTAATCGCCAAGTAAAACTTAAAATTTGACATTGTCATATTCAACGTACGAATTTGGAGATGATTTCAAACAAGAGTGGTGCTGAATTTTACATTTTTCCTACGGTGTGCTGCATGTCTCTAAAACAAGATGTGATAACGCATTATCCTTCGGAAGGTGGAACTTGACATTTTATTGGAAATTTTGCCTACACTGCTAAATATAATTATGTGATATTAAGGTGTAGCCCCACACGAAAACATTTCTAATGCATACTGGTGAATTGAAAATGCCTTATTTTACCTATTCAAACAACCATCTTCAGAGGTGGCAAAATTGCTATAACTAGCTTAGGCCTGTTTCACCTTAAACATTGGTTGCCCATCGCAACACAAGCGCAAATTTCTATTTTCTAAATAAGGCAGCTAACCTGGCGTTGATTAACCACTATATTTTTTTGACAGTGGGATATGGTACATTTTCAAACAGACGTTATATATATATATATATATATATTAGCGTAGAGATAAACATAACTAGTGATTTCCCTCAAAACGATCCAACCTGCCATGTTTACCAAAATGTTATATGAAGATGGTGAGAATGGCTTACAAATTCGAGGTAAAAAGAAAACTGTTTAAATTGTTATTGTTAGCGACATCTCTGGCTCGAACGATGGACATAATTTGGATTCGTTTGTAGACACTAGTCAAACACCCATCAATCAGTACCGTCGTGTCTCATACAATTTTCACGATTCACTAGGAAGACGGAGCATGCGACGCCAATTCCTTGCCTTGCAAACTTCGACCTGTATCTATTGCTGACCTGGACGCGCCTATCAAAGGCAGTTATGCAAAGTTATCCTCCGGACTGTCCGCCAAACAAACTACTGGAATACGTCACACTGGCTTCGATAATCTTAGCCGTTCATCGGCCATCAATAACTTCACAGATTATGTAAACGGTTGCTGTGCTGGACTTACCATGGATTTACTGATGGAATTAATGAAAGACTTGAATTTCGAAGCTGATCTATTTGAAGTGCCGGATGGATTGTGGGGAGCCTGGACGGTTAGTTATCTTTATAGTACTTTCCATTTAAAAGTTCCAAATGTTTATAGGTTAATTGTGCGCTCACAACACTGAAGGAATGTGCTTACTTTGTCAGCTCCACCTGTGCTCTGGACCCCATAACATCTAATTTGAAACGCAAGACAACCTGTGAAATCGTGCTGTCGGTTTACAAAAGTAGGCAGGCTTTAAGTTGAGAGGTGAACAATGTGGCTAAACCGTCTGAGCGACAGGCAAATATTATTTTCTATAACATGAGCTGGTCGAATGAAATGTCACAATTCATGGGGGATTGGTTGAGAATGCTCCAAATAAATCTCTGTTGTGTATGTGATGTTCATCCATAAAACTAGCTTCCTGTAAGCGACAAAACCGAATGTAAATGCGCAAATTCGAAAAAGAAATTGCAGAAATTCTGAAACTATAATGGGAGTGCAACTCAAGAAAATAGATTCCCAAGAATAGTAGTAGAAATAAAGCCTAATATTTTGCATTTATGCATGTTTAAACAAACATGTATATGTATTTAACATGTTTTCATATGTGTCCATTTGTACAACTGCCCCGTCTGCTACGAAAACGCGTCTCAAAAACTCTTATCACCTTGTAGCCCGACGGATGGAACGGAATTATCCGTACTCTAATGGATAACGAAGCTGATATGGCTATTACCTCTCTAAAGATAACCCCGAACCGGTCGCAGCAAGTAGAGTTTAGCGTACCGTTTTTGGAGACCGGCATAGCAGTCACGGTGGCTTTACGAGAGGGAGCCATCTCGCCGACTGCATTTTTGAGTAAGTTGCCTGGATACTAATTAGCTCATCTATTAATTTACTTGGCTGAGCAGAACAATTGCATATTATTATTGTAAAATAGTATGTGGCTGGCCGAACAACCTCCTCGTGGTGCCAGCTGGGTGGTTCGGGTTTACCCCCTTCCAGCAAATAGTTCGGCGGCAGTGTTCCAGGACGTGGTGGGTTTTCGCCTGGCAAGCGTTCTCCCTATAAAAAGCCACAAAAGTCCGTTTAACAACACTGTGATGTGGCGGTTGTGACTCGCCACTAACTAAAGTCACCCATTGCTTATCCGGACAATCGCTTCAAGTCCACAGATATCAAGCATCCATTTAGCACTGGCGACACCTTCAAACACATTCAAGCAAAACGACAGGAAACATTTACCAATCTCATAAACAAATCTAAACACGCCTACATGCAAACCTACGTTCATACATAAACATGTGCAACAATCCCATTGTTCCATTGTACATTAACTGATCACATTTTGTACTCTTAACATGATCATGCCTGCGCAGGCGTGCCTCGCTTAGTCGAGAATACACAATTTATTTATTTATTTATTTATTCTAGTTACAGCTAAATTGCCACGGTAACAAAAAAGAATGGCTCTGATTTATGATACAAACTTTTTTAACATTTCTCTTTCGAATGCTTTGAACCAACATTAAGGGTGTCTAGAATTCGCTGCAACCATATCTCGCGCGTTAAAATAGTAACAAGTAACGAATATGTTTGCTACAATACGCGTTCCGTGAATTGAAATTCAACTCCAGGCGGTCCAGACCAGCCTCCTAGTGAAATGAATGTCATAACTTTCACCGGTTATTTAACTTGCGCCAATACGCGAAAAGAACACAGACAGGAGTGACTCAAAATGTACATCGCTTTTGATAAGCCAGGTAATCAAGTTACAGCAACCCTAGAAATATAATATATCTTTATAGCCCTGACCACACAAGGCCCAACGACATCGTGTCGAATACTTGTATATGTGGGAGTCCCAATTATGCAACGTACTACTTGTAAAACTGCTGAACGCAACACTATTCAACTGCATTTATATTATTTCACAAAAACACCTGCCATTATTTCGTCTCATATTTTAAGTCACTATTACATCCCCGTTGTTCCCTTGTCCTTAGAACCATATGATTATCAGGCTTGGTGCCTCATCCTCCTGTTCAGTGTACATGCTAGCGGGGCAGCGTTATTCCTTTTTGAGTGGCTCAGTCCAAATGGCCTTAATCGCGGAAGAAACGGTAAGACCTCTGATTACGTTGTTCCACCAAGATTGACATTTAAACCGTTTCATATCTCATAGGATCCGACATCGCAAACTTTTGTCTACGCGGTGATATGAGGCTGTCCGTAAAACAACCAGGCAGTTTTACTCTAACCTAACCTTAGTCTACTGATATAAGTAATGCGGTGTTACCGCCTGTACCAACGATACGAAACCTAAACTAATACGTCGTGCGAAAACTAAACTAGAAACTACGAACAAATAAATCTAGACTTAACGCACGGTCTGAGCACAAGAATAAAACGAATTATCCTGTAACCGTGGTTCTATAAGGCAGATTAAATACTTTACATGACTTACGAATAGGTATTGGAATCGCAGTTCAAGAGGGCAGAAATTGTATAGTGTTCAACGGCATGCGAGTATTTGGGCAGTGTCACACTAACATAATAAGATGAATAACCTTGAAACCTCAAGGATTTGTCATTGGTCTAGTGAAAGGAATAAATATACGATATGGTAACTGCTTGTAGGACACAGTAAAGCAATGTAAACGAGCAGAATAAATAGCGAATAGAGATACCTTGTCCTCATGTAAGCAATGCAGGTTGGGGGATACATCAAAGTTCCTTTTGGACTTTACACTACCGATGATGTTCATGTTTCCCAATTTAGCCAGTGTGGATCAGAAAGGGAAAACATTGAATTAACACTTTACAATTAGAGTCGATATTTATTTTTGCTTTATTTATCATGGCAAACGATATCAAGAAGCAGAACGGTAATATTTAATAAAGCACAGTAAATTTGTTTAGCCAGTAGGATAAATGAAACCTGGGGTCGAATATTTGATGGTGATTGCTATTCGGTACCACAATTTCTGTAGCATCAGCGACAACTTGCAACAGAATGGCTAACATTGCGTCAGCATGTACACAAAGAAACAATTGAGAAGGTAGTTTCAAAAGGAACACAGAAACATCCTAGAAATATTGCGCCTCCCCTATCCTTGGAACAAGTTGCTTGTTTACTGTGATCCACCTGATTGTTTAATTGCGCTTATTTTCCCTGCAGTTTAAATTGTGCCTGAAACCATCAGATATCGCACTTTACTCTGAATGAGGCATCGTCTGACCAACACGTATCTATTTTGCCCTCACTCTGCACAAGTGTCAGCAAGTTGACTGGCGAACCACATTCTTATTTTCCGTTTGACCTGCTTTGATCTGTTTTAACAAAAATACGGTAACTCACTCCATGCGCGATCACACCGCGAATGACATTGCCGGTGACATAACATGTTTCGTTTTATCGCAATGAGGCTGGACCTTACCGTGGTGCGATGGTTTGTGTGCTTCAGAGATCCCGTGATCCATGTTGAATGGTGCATTGTTGCACATTCAGAGCCACGCATACCAGATTGGTCGATGGTTAGACGCCAGACAAACCCAGCCTCCTGGTGCTCAAAGTTGGGGGTTGGAATGTGAGTGGCTCCTTATTTCTTAAAACGAACTGCTTGTAGCCCAAAGCCAAACCCGCCGCCTTACCGTCAGGTTTTCGACACAAAGGCTTTGGTTGAAAACAATAAATGTTCTCCTGTGAAGGCCTGGGTAACATGACAAAATCCTGCGCAAGCAATACAATGAATTTCACTTCAAACATATTTCTGTTGCTCTGACCACCGCAGAGGATAATCAACGGTGCTCTATCCGCTGCATCGAGCAGGGTGGATAAGGGTTTGGATGCTCCGGCTCAAGTCTTCCCGTCTTCTTATTTCCCCTCTAGCGCTTTTTCACCCTTATCGTCCCGTTCCAGCTTCACTTTTATACCCCCTGTTTTCTAACCCACAATTCATGGCTCTCCCCCACCTTGCTTTGATAGACTTGCACCTTTAATTTTAACTCACATGGGAACGCGGAGCCTCATTCCTGTCCTGTCGATAAGCCCATGTCCATCTAAGCGGCCAAGCCCAGTTCTTGGACTTCAATTTGGAGCCCTCGATCATACTTCAGATTGAAATGACTAAATGTACGCACATTGCTACAGATCGGTCAACAGGCAGCACTTGCCCGAAAATTAGAGACCCACTCAATCGGTATCTGCTGCTTATCGGAGACCCGCCTGCAAGGCTCGAGGTCTGTGCTCAGTTTGCCATACCATTCAGGTGACACCAGCAGTGCTTTCTCATCGCGCCTATCCGGTGACGATGCAGCTTCGAGCACCGGCCAAGCCGTTGTTGGTATTGCCCTGATTCCCCGGTCTGAAGCTGCTCTGGAATACAATCAGTTACCGGATGTGGGCGGTCCGATTGCCTGGCTGGTTCAAAGCTTCGAAGCCGCACGGGACTAACAGGTGTCAATTCGTCATCGCTGTCTATGCACCCACAAACTCTAGCGATGCTTCGGTAAAAGACGACTTCTGTCGCCAATTGGACTAGCTCCGACACAGAAGAAGCTCGGACACTGTTGTGCTGGTGGGGGATCCGAACGCTCAACTTGCAAAATTATCCACTGTTGAACTGCATCTGGGAGGCCAACATAGTGTAGGCTCCCGTAATGATAACGGTGAGCGGTTACTTCATTTGTGTGAAGATGCTCACTTATTTCTTGCGAGCATTAATTTCCGACACAGCACGCGCCGGAGGTTGACTTGGCGTCTACCAGCATTGAACCAACTTTGGACGCAAGTCGTTCACATTCCGATAAGTTACCTCTGGGGAGGCTGCATCCAGAACTGTCGCTCGATTTGGAGTACGTGTGAACACCGACCATGCACTTGTATGTGTTGACCAGCGTGTGCGTTTTGGCGGACGCCCACGACGACGTTTTTTGCGCATTGACGCCAGCCAACTGGCAAAACCAGCTGTTCTGAATGTTTGTCAATGTACGCTGATATGCGAGTTGAGTAAGCGTTCACTGGGTAGAATTGAGGCTCACTGGTCTCAAATTAACCAAAACTTACTAGCAGCAGGAACATCCTCATGTGATTAGTCTAATCACCAAAGTGAACATTGGATTTCTTCGCAGTCTCCGGAAATATCGATGCTCTCCGGCATATTCCGGCTGGAAGCGAACACAATGAAACTCGCAAATAGATCCGGGCAAAACTACTTGCTAGCCTGAAGAGAGACCGTGAATCCTGGTGGTCTTATCGTGCTTCAGAGATGGAAATGGCTGCTACCCTTCGTAACCATCGTACGTTATTCTTACTGATACGGGAAACGGGCAGCAGGAGACCTGGTTTTAGTGAAACATTTTGTGACGAGAGGGGACACACTATCCACAACTTGTGAAAACGCTTGGAGCGTTGGGCTGAGCACTATGAAAGGCAATTTAATCGATCGGAATTGTTAGATTTCTCGCCGGCCACTGATCGCACTGCTCCCTGGGCTGTCCTTTTGGATCCAACCTCTCGCTCAGAAGTCGGACCAGAGATGGCACTGTTGAAGTTAAATAATGCCGCGGGACCAGACAAGCCTTATCCAGCCCTCTTTAAATTTGGGGGACCTGCACTTGTGGATGATTTATACGAGTTAGTAGTGAAACTGTGGGAGCTGGAAACTGTCCCAACCGACCGGAACCGCTCCGTCAAAGTCCTAATTTGCAAGGGAGGCTCACGATCGGAATGTGGCAACCATACAGGAATCAATCTGACCTCCATTGCCTCCAAATTGTTTGTGTCTGTCATCTTTCACGAATTGACTGGCACTCATGAAAGCCAGATTCGTGAACAGTAAGCCGGATTTGTTTGAGGTCGTGGCTGCATTGACCACATCTTCACTTTACATCAGTTTTTGGAGCACCGTCACATATATTGGCGGCCCACCGTTGTCGTGTTCCTCGAAATCAAAGGTGCATTCGATTCGGTGAATAAATTTGCACTTTGGGACTGTCTAGTTAGGAAACATGAACGTGAGGAATATGTAAATATTATCCGAGCATTAGACGCGCGTAGCTCAGGCAGAGTGAGGGCTTATGACAAGGATGTCCGCTGTCACCTTTCCTCTGCAACTTCGCTATTGACGAAGTCATAGAAATCGCGTTCACAGGACACGACTTAGAAGGTGTGGATCTGCTCCCAGGAGAACGACTTCTTGACTTGGAGTACGCTGACGATATTGCCCTAATCTGTGACAGCTTCCAGACGTGCCCAGCGGCACTAAACAGATTAGCACTGGCTGTCAGTCGCTTCGAGCTTCGCTTTGCACCATCGAAGTGCAAAGCGTTCCTCCAAGATTGGCCTGGACCGCCTCCTTCACTGACGCTTGGTGGGGATCAGCTAGTAGTTCAAGAATTCACCTACCTGGGAAGTTGTATCAGCGCCCGTGGGATTGAAGAGGAGATCACGAACCGTATAGCAAAAGCTCGAGGCGCTTTTATTAACCATCGCCACTCATGGTGCCGACCCGACATCACTCTCGCCCTGAAGGATAGAGTGTACAATGCAGCGGTACATTCAACCCTACTGTAAGGTTGTGCAACCTGGCTCCTTAGATCAGCGGACATGAAGAGGCTAGTTACGTTCGACCACCAGTGCCTTCGCAGTTTGGCTCACATCTGGTGGGAACACCGAGTAAGCAACGAGCGTGTTCGACTCCTTGTTTACGGCACAGCAAAATGAAATGAACCGCTCAGCACCGTCATTTCACGCACCAGGCTCCGATGGCTCGGTCACGTGTTACGCATGCGAGTCCACCGACTCCCGCGACGTGCGTTGTTTGCGCTCCGGGGGTGTGGATGGAAGAAGAGGAGAGGTGGTCAAGCGATGACTTTGTCGAGAGGAATGAAGGCCCTCACTTTGGAGCTGGCCTCAATTGGAGCGTTTTGGATCCCTGCTTGCGGTCCGAAAACGAGGAACACGTTTGGCTGGATACACGCTTATATGGCTAGGAGCCGATCTCAGTGGCGTTCGTGCTATGAGTTTATTTGTCCCACTCCATCCCTCTTAGAATTCCCTCCAACCACGATCTCACTATTTAGCCTTGTATACCTTTGCACCGTAATTTTTTGATGCTCA